TTTTTATCACAAAAGAGACATGTTGAATAATTAATACAATCTGAGCAATATTCGGGACAGTTTATACATTTGTTGTCTAAAATAAAGTATCCTACTTGACATCTGCTGCATCTATCTCTTTCTTGTGTGTATATCATACAATAATTATTGCTAATTGTTTGTGAAATACACTTGTTTTGTTGATAAAAGGAGTCATTTTTACATACAACACAACTGTGGTTTTTATTGGATATTATACACGGTGCGTTTTCAAAACACAAACCATTTTCTTTTATATAACTACTTGTATTGGTACATCCTTGGCAATGTGAATTTTTAGATACAATGCAATTACTTTCATTTTGTGGTATACAAATATTATCATTGTTTATAACCCCATTTCCTGAACAATTGAAACAATTAGTTACATCACATTTTGAACACATTTTCCCATATTTCAAAGAACAGGGAATACATTCGTTAAAAAGAAGATAAGACCCATCTGCGCAATTAATGATATTATCGTTATTAGTTAATAATGTCGTATTTTTAAAACGACAAATTCCACTTTCTAAAGTACTTTTTGAATTACATATAAAACAATGACTTTCGTTTTTACAACTGACACAGTTATCTCCACAATTTAAACACATATTAAAGTTAATAAAAGTTTCAGAAACACATTTGAATATTCTCCCAATTTGGTACGAAACAACTTTGCTGTTCAACAACTTAACATTTTTACATAATCCATTTTCATCCTCATAATAATCATTTTCACATAAAATACAATGTAACATGAAACAGCGAAGACAGTGATCTGGACATTGAACACACTCATATTTAAATGCTTCATTATGTGTTTCACATTGTTGACAAATACCGTTGGTTTTGTCGGTGTAAACACTTGTACAATTTGGACTGATAGGATAACATTTATTATTAAATAAATATGTATAATTTTTACAAAGAAAACATTTTTCGTTGTTTTGTTCGATTTGTATTAAACGACACAAATAATTTTCATTATAAGTTAATGTTAAATAAATATTTTTGTTAATACTTTTAGGAAAATCACTTGTTGTTTTTTCAAATCCGTATATCTTACCCAATACCCACTTTACATTTGTGTTTGAAAATGTTACATTTTCTCCGTTGTGGGATAAATCATTCACAAAAAGAATATTCGTCTTTTCGTCTTTAAATTTGGTAACATAAGAAATTTTCTTGGTGAAATCAAGAATGGTTGTGTTCTGAACAAAACTTCCTATAAAATTACAATTTTGTTCAATGTTGTTATTTTCAATGTAAATTGTTGTGTTTTCTGAAGATATTGGGCAATGTAGTATTTTTTCTTTGTAGTTTTTGTAATCACCAAAATCACCACCAAGATAAACACAAGAAGTGTGTACAATTTTGTTGGGTTGATTTTCAACAATGTAAAGTAATTTACCTCCAATTAAATCATCAAAAAAATAACAAGAAGAACTGTTTTGAATTTCTTGAAAAGAAATTAAATTGATTTTTTGTCCATATTTTGTTGTGACGGTTACATGTGCTCTTTGATTTTTTATTGAACAACCTTTTTCAATTTGAATATATCCATTTGTATCAATAATTTGAGGTGTTAATATTTCATTTGTGTTGATTACTAAATTATCACCAAATATTAAAGTACTTCTTTTTGTAATTCGAAGATTTCCATTTTCAAACAATTTCAAACTTGATGAAATTTCAATTGAAATTTCTGAAATTACTTGTGAATTGATGATTAGTTCATTTGTAGACATTTTTGTGTTTCCAAGAAACCGAATGTTATTACCCATTGTATAAATTTTGTTCCATGATTGTTGTTGATTGATAAGTTCGTAAAATTGTGTAAATAATCTCAAGTTTAAAGTGGGCTGTTTTGAAGTTTCAAAACAGTCTCCTTTATTTATCAATTCGGTTCCAAAAGGATCCCAACCATTTATAGTATAATTACAATTACACATTTCAATTGTACTGTTTGATAAAAACACTCTTTTTCCACAAAATGATAACCCGTTTCTTATTGTACTTT